CTCTGTTTTCTTTCTCCATCTTTTAGAGAACTTGCTAATATTCCCAGAGTGAATTCATTTTGGGGAGAAAGGGTGAGATATTTGTTGCATTTTACGGACCTAGTGCATCCTTTCAGAAAGCCAGTTTGTACATGGTTATACACCGAAACATATACTAATAAACGGTGATTTTTATACAATTACTCAAATTTCCTAAACAATGTGAAACCTGCCGATTTTATGGACCAGAACATTTGTGAGTACTGTCACAATCCTCTGGAACAACTTAGGCCTACTTTTCCCCTACTTACATGTATTTACAACCTGGCCCAATTTTCTTAGGAAATACCACCTTTTACCGCGCAGAGCTACAAATGCATTCCTTGCTGTGACCGGGTTGAATTTCATAACTATATATTTTCAGCCTGTTTATTTTACATGTTTGATCGTAGATAACCGTGTCTTGTCGGCGACTTCAAAGTCCTCAAGTGCAATACAATTTCTCACATTTTATTTTAGGGAACTACAATGTGCAACGCACCCGCTGGCTACCGAAGTAGCGCTCAGCGATTAGTTTTGTCGACGGCTGTTTCGGTCCCAGCTCTATGATTGGGCCTTGGCGGATACAAAGTCTAGCAAGGCGCTAATTTACTTCAATTTCCTTGAAAAATTCTAGGAATTACAGTTACAAAACAGTTATGAAGACTGTTGAATTTAGGTATTCTAATGGCTATAATCTTGGCCGTGAAGCTGTAGAACAATTCTCAAGTTGCTCGTTGAGGTGCTCATACTGCTTCGGTTTGTGGCGTGACCGGGCCTCTCTGAACTTAACAGTGGAAGATGCGGGCCATTGTAGCTCATCATGAAAGGGTCGTCGCTGGCAAGTACGGGACCCTGAACAATAGTCGTGCACACCTGCACACTTGTACTGTGTAAAACGATACGGGGATACCACTTCTAAAAATCAACAATACCACAAACCACACACTGTAAAAATGTCAACACCGAACAGTAAACACGACTAAGAAAGCTTGCTCGGTCACGGTCGACGCTTCAGCATAATTATCGCCACAGCTGTTCCAATTCTTTCTGTGGGACAAGCACACACATTTCCTGAGAATAAAATCCAACGCTGTTAGTCATCAGCATTGACTGCTCCCACCAGATATTTCTGGGAAAGTTTACCAAGATTTGGGGGCATTGTTCCCCAAACAATAAGGCGTCGGCTTTTTGTTCATTTTTCTTTCCAATATTGCAGGTGGCGTTTTGTGTTAAAACGCGACTTGACCGCGATTACAATAGGCCAATACTAATTGGACCTCAAGGTGAAAATTGGGGCTTATCGGATTAAAGGAAATCTGTTGTAATGGCCTAGCTCCGATGTACCGAGGAAGTTGTAAAAGTTTGAATTCATGTCATGCTACAAAGACACCAGCAAACATGCAATTAGCATCAACTAAAGATTCATTATGACTTGATACTGCGGAATTGTTTACAAGAGGACCGAGAAGAGTGTAATATCACGCGTGCCAAAAAATAAATGTGACTCCGTTCCTGAGTCAGTTTTCATTCTTGATTGTGATATTGGATTTTGTCCATTTTTAATTTCAACATTTTAAATTATCGCAACACCTTTTCAAGTCTTTCTGGCCATTCTCTGCGCAATGAATCTTACTACCAGGTTACAAAATCGTACCTCCGCTGGGTCATAAATGAAGGAACCAGTCAAAGGTGTGATGTCCGCATTCAATTTCCACCCAAGATGTCAACATTTGAGTAATTGTTGTGTGGGTCTGTGTACGATTTAATGCAGTGGAATGTTCTTTAGATCTTGTATGTTGTAATAAGTCCCAAATTATGAGGAGAATGTAATCAACAATCAATTATTCAAAGAATTGTTGGTGATTGTAAAAGAACTGTGGTTACAATGACTGTAGGTCAGAGGTCACATGTATGTCTTCACTGCATGCTCAGCATGCCCATCGGGCAAACCCGTCTCTGAGATTCTGGAAAATCCACGTACCATCAAATTACTTTTCCGTCTGTATCTCACTAAGAGCGGTTTATATGCAGGTACATTCCTACTGCCAAATTGTGCTTCCATTCAAAATAATTTGAATTTCATCAAACGTTGGCCTAAATTAAACGAAAGGTGATAAAAAGTTGCATCAAAAGCAACATAGTCCCACGAAAGAATTTCTCTAATTATTCAATCGTTGTAGTATGTTAGTTGTTATGGATTTTATTCCACAGTTCCTAGATTAAGTCAACCTCATAATTTATCTTATTTCGTAGATTCTTACGGCGTCACCTCGATGCCACCTCCCCAAAATAGCTTAGTGCTTCTTGACCCCCTTTAGAGATGTCACTTCGTCATCTCACAATAGAATGGTTATCTTTATCTTGATCCACAAGAGGACACCCCCCCCCCTTTGAAAGTCTCGAAATTTATCCAAAGGTTCTGAGGGCCTTGCACCGAGCACCAGTGGCCGTGATGGTTTCCAGACGCCTACAACCTTTTCCCTGTGAGCGGACTCTTCCCACGTGTTTGTAAACACTGGTATCGGTATGCTGCGCCGGCACGCCAAGCCCATTCTCCGGTCCAGACAAGCTGGCGCCAAAACTAGGCGTGATGAATAGAGAATAGATGGGAACATGGCCTCAACTAGCACACGTGTGTGGGGTTAGAGGTACCTTAACAATAGGTATTACATCAAGTGGTTTATAGATCATACAATCGGCCCTTTGGCAAGCAGATAAAGGAGCGATTATTGCTTCCTACGCATCATGATATAGTGCAGGGCAAGGTGTCCGTCAGTGTAAAGACTTGATCACAGCCCTATTTTCGGTTGGATTATGAAGATGATGGATGAAAAAAGGTTATTGAAAGATAATGTTCAATTATCATACAGATAAAGTCGATTTATAAATGTATGACTCGGAGTGGTGGGAAATGTAAGGTATTTTTGCATCCTTTCCAGCTGATTGAGACGTACTTTTGCGCCAGGTTCCGTAAAGACCGGTCTCCGTAACCAAGTTCGAAACACATACCAAACAAAGTTTATCGTGCACGCTGATTATTCTTCATGTCACAAAAGTGTACGAAGACTAACTGGATCTTTAAAAAAAAGGGAAAGACCTCATCTCGCACAATCAGCAAAAGACATTTCCCTTCATTGCAGAAAAAGACATGATTCCGCGTGTTAAACATATTGTTTGAGAGGAGGCAACCCTGAGTAAGTTGATAGTCGGTTTTTACTGACTGGTGAACTATAAACATTGCGTGTCGGCATGTGGGGAGCGTATGTAAAAGTAACATTCTGTTTTCAAACGGCAGCTCCCACAGGTGAAGAAAGAGGGCGCTTTTGATGTGAAAGCAGCAGAGCTGTAGAGAGAGTAGCGTCAACTCTAGACTCTAGAACTAAAATGACTGTTCATTAGCTGCGCAGTACAGCGCGTCGCTATTGTGTGCTTAATATCCATGTGCACTGGCACATAATCTACCATTTTGGTTCCAACAATTGGGACGCTCATGTCGCAACTTCTCTATAAAGAGCTCTGGCAGTGGTCATGAAAATGACTGCATGTAATGGGCGTCATATGTATCAAATGTTTCTGCAATCATAAAGACGTTGACAGACACTGAAGGCAGCAGGGTTTTCGATCGCCACAAGGACAAGTCGCCTGTGGTGGTATTTGATGGTGGTCTGTTGTGGTGAGCCATGGAAGATCCATGTTGATGGTTAGGAACCTTCACAAGTGCCAATGACGTGACCCAGCTATATACCCCATGTCCCCACCCAAGAGGCAACGATCGCTTCTACGAAACAGATTTCTTCTCAACGAGTAGCAGGAGGAAAACCTTTCATGCACGACTCATCAATTAGTGCGGTGGTCAAGGAAGGTTTATAAACCCCAGCTGTCCGTTGGCTGGAGCCAAAGGGCGTGTCCATCCACATATTTCCGAACTACTCTTGTTTTTCACGTTGTCACAGCTGACACCTGATTCTTCATTTTCAATGAACGACCGTCGGGTGAGATGTTGGACAGTGCATGGGTCCTTACAGTATAATGTGAGCAGATTGGAGCTGGTCTTGAGACGCATTAATCTGGTGATTAGTGAGCTTTCCTTCCTACGATAGTCAGCTGTTCTCCCTCTTCCCTCTGTTTTCGGGAGTGTTCGCGTTCAGCATTGTTCACTCAGACATGTCTGTTTTTCCTCATTTGTCATTTCGTCTTGTTACGTGAGGTTGTAGACATCCAATCCGCTTTCTTTTGTTTGATTTCTCAGATATTTACTTGATGTCCATTACACGGAACCTTCTCATGTAACAACTCCAGTTGGGCAAAGAATGACTCTAATAAACAAACGTGGGGCTTAGAGCAAATTCGAAGCGTAAGATCTGTCTTTTCTCGACGACTTTGATAAAATGTAGACTGCACTTTTCTTATGTTTTCCCTTTCCATTTTGAACGTGTACTTGGGTTCAGGAAGTTCTCCCCTATCTCTTTTAGACTCGTTTCTAAGAATATAGCGATATATTTATATATATTTTTCCTTTATTTTTTTCTTTTTTTAGGACCTCACCCACACACAATTTTGAAAACGTCACAGATTCGTTAACAGCGGCGTAACTAAGGGATGACCATTAATATGGATGCACGCACAAGGCTCGAGACCTGTACCCCCCCTCAGATAATAGGGGAAAGGAAAAGGTCGAATGTTTGTGATACTTTGTCTTGGTCAATGTTAACTGTGACCTAACCCATTAAGTGCCCCCTCCAGAAAACGAGGGTCCTCCAAATACCCCCTATAAAATCTGTCCCACTTTTGTTGCCGTTAATTAACATGCGATAGCAAAGTTTCGTTTTAATATACGATTGCGTCCACTTACACTGAACATGCACTGAACAACGACTAATGAGGACTGACCATCATTCATGACCAGCGGTCACTTAGTAGCCAACTGTCCAGAAAATGGACTATCAAAGGGTTGATCAGTGAATCCCCTATAATGAACCTACCCTACAGCGTAGGAACACTGCAGAGTGTAGCTGGTCACGTACATGTACATGCGGCCTTTCAGCGCAATATAAATATCTGCAGTCACTGTTCGTGAAAATTAATAAGGCAAGTACTTGCTAAATTTTCATTAGAGAAACATAGGTATGCATTGATACACGTGGGAAGCGCCTTGTCATAAAGAATTTCTCACGGTTGGTGTGAGCATGGAGACCTTCCTCCATGGTGTGAGATCACACGAACGAATTCGCCGACTGACGTAACCCTTTGTTGATTGTAATGATTTGGGGTGGCCGTCTATCCAGCAGTATTTAGCGCTACACATTGCTCTATGAATGGACGATGGAGTAAGGAACGATTGACCTACCATCTGGTGAGTTGATAGGAGCATAGAGCTCTATGATAGGAGGAAGGAGTGAGGCTGTAATGGCAGAACCCATCCCGTGAAGAATAAGCCAGTTTGCAAGCCAAGTTGACCAAAATTGTCAATGTTATTTTTGCTCACTAAAGAAAAAGTTGAGGTAAAAAGGCTACATTTTTACCATTTACAAATTGAAGTCGATACCTTAAGCTGTGATTTCTACCTCCCTGATCCGTGACAGTCACAGTTTTTATACCCTCATTCGTCATTTTATGCATTACCATCTACGTTTAATGGGACAGACACTGAGGAAAATTGGAGCGTGCACCTGGTTTAATAAATCATTTTCAAGATGGAAAGATCATGCCAGGAAAACTAACTTTTGAAATTCTTATGTTTTAAAATTAATGACGGGACCACATGGCGTAAAATACAGTCAAGTAAAAAACATGCAGGCCCAAAGCTTTAGCTAGAGAAAAGATTGTACAAACCAACAACTATGAGACGCAGAATAATTGGTGGCGCTGTGACCGAATTTGATGAGATTTGATGCACGTTTCATAAGGTGTTGAGTTACGAGTGGTTTGGCTGTGTTCCTTAAAATACATGAACAGCTCAACTGCTAGTTCTCCCCCGGTCATTTTACCATTGCCTTGGGCTATTACCATCGTAAATTCAAAGTTAAACCCGCAATTTGTGGCGGCTTGAAAGATGGGTGTTGCGCCGAGTGTTTTGACTACTGTGCGGGTGTCGAGTCAGTGTATAAACGCAAGTGCCCTGTGTAAACGAATTGTAGACATCTAGTCTAGCCTCCATATGGCCAAATGATAGTTGATATGTGTTGATATGGTCCACGTTGTGGTGGTAGGGGTAAAATTAAAGCACCAGCCAGAAGCTTTGTCGATGAATTAGGTTCCAGAAGAAAGAATTAAGAAGTTTTGGGTCCACGCGGGGTGAACTGCGCCAAGTAGGGTCCTTGTTTGAAAGCAAAAAAAAAAACAAAACAAAACAAAAACAAAAAAATACAAAAAACCCCAAAAGCAGCCAAACTATCCATGTGTCTTTGTTCGCGTAAAGAAGTTAATTTTCAGTTTGAAGAAGCCACCTTCAGCAGACCATGACCGAAGGTGATGGGGCAGTTGCTTACCAGGTTGAAAATCGAAACTAAGCTAGAGTCAATAAGTCAACATATTACAGTGTAGTGTTATCTCACTCTATAGGAATAGTTATTGCTAAAAAAGAATATTTGTCCCTTTCACACCAGAACCATTTTTTAATTGCAATAATCCGGTACGTAGCTTTAATAACGTTTATTTTGCAGTTTAGTCTTCTTTTGCTTTCTCTCTTGGGGGGGTCGGCTTACGTATATGTGTCATCAGTTTCATGTACATTTACTTGTACATGCCTTCCCTGTTCGTGAGCACAACCTTAAATTCATATGTATTGCATAATTCGTTGAGGGCGCACTTCTCATTTAATGTGGGGGTGATTTGCGAGCGATCATCGCGCTAAGAGGCTGCATGCCTTTCAGAAAAATTTGTGAAAAAGTGTGTAGACGTCGCAAATCTTTCTGGGTAGCCCTAAATCTAGGTTCGTGAATTCTGCATAGTAGCTATTGTTCTTTCTAGGAGATTCACAAAAAGGGATATTACGTATATTTTAATTTATAATACATTTAAGAAGACGTTTAAGTTCTGAAGTAAAATTCATTTTGTGGGCATTTTGATCGTTCGATCTTGAAAGAGGGACTGTACGAATGAGGGCGTGATATGGCTTGAATCCTGGTACATTCGTAGACAAGGTAATAGTGAAATTAGTGTGTGTATAAACCAGCAGTGGTCTTACGCCCAAGTCTGTCGAGTGTCAACTCAAGAGGCAATTGGTTGTGTATGTTGTGTGGGTCACTGTAAACCTGCTTAGAGCAAGGAATGCTGTAAGATACCATAATCACGGGGGGGGGGGCTCGAGACACGTGCCCCCCCCAAAAAAAACTCCCGGTGTCCTCCCAGGTGCCGCCCATAAAAAAGATGAATGGATATTGAACAAGGCTAACTAAAACACGCCCCCTAAAAAACCACGCCACTGAACGCTAGTGGCCCCCCATAAGATGCCTGTGCTCTCCTGTGCCCCCTAATAAAATCCTAGCTACGTCACTAGTTAGAAGTAGTATTTCCAACTGGACGAGATCAAAGTCGGTCTATTGACCGTTTCACCATGCATCTGGACCCCGGTACAGTGACCTGTACTTCAAATTTTACAGCTTATAAATTCAGAGCTATATATCATATAGAGAGAGTAGCACCTTCTTCAGATTTGGGAAACGAAATGGCTGTTCACGATGTGTGCGGTAAAGCATGTGACTATCACATGACCAAATGTCTTTGTACTCTGGCGCATAGGCCCACACTGACTAAATTTTTTCCAACAATGGAGATACTTATGTCTCGTCTCGCTATCTGTTGAGACATTTACGTCTCAATTATTTTGTAACTCTGTCTAAAATCACAGTACATGTAGCTCCAAATTAACCATAAGTCTGATCACTACGTGTTCAGCATGCAGCTATTGTGGGCTAATTCTCCACGTGCACTGACACATTCAGTGATTGAGGCACTCGTGTCTCAACTCAGTAAACAACTCTAGCTATAAAAATTAACACTGCCCTCTTTAGTTTCACGGACACTCACAGGGGTGCGTTTTGACGGTAACAACGAACTTTGTTCTTCCCCCAGCGCGGCCGATGGCTTTGCACTGTGCAGACCTGTGACCGTGAGGTTAACACTTCCTGTTGGCGAAGCGTTGTATAAATTTCTTGGTTCGCTGGTGGCAATGCTTGTAATACGCGGGAAAAGTGCGTATCATAAAACACGGCCTTGGCGCAATCACAGTTTGGTAATAGATCTTCTCACTAAGTAGGCCTATCACTGATCACGTGTCTTTTGGCGACATATTTCAAATCATTGGTTATCTTGATCAATTTTGGGTCAACGAATAAAGTGTAGTAAGAATATTTTCAGCAGGGAGGAAGAAAAATATCGAATTGATAACCGCTGCTTGTGTAACGCATTGAGCGAGCTCGCGCGTGCCTGGCAGAAATTTACCCACAATGCTCAGCGCGTCTTTAGCTGTGACCCCGTGTGACGTATTTCCTTCACTAAAATCTGTGCAAGGCCATCAGCCCTTCCCGGCGCCCAGGCGCTGAGCGACGAGCGAAACAACGAATTACTTTATCCGTTAGTTTTAATTGGTTGTTCTTTTGGTCAAGACTTTTGATTTTCAACGGTACCGGTGACCATACGAGTTATATACCATTTATTTGTCTCACTTTTTCTGCATCTTGTTATGTATCTGTTTTGATATAATAAATACTTTAAATTATTTTATGAGCAGATAAAGGTTGCAGTTATAAGACTGCGTACAGTGTGTGTCGAGGATCATCAATGTCAACATTTGTAGACCTTTGGAACAATAGTAGTGTTCATTGTGCACTGATGGAAAGGTGGTAATTGTATTAAAATAAGTGTAAAAATTTTGCGTGCTTGATGATGACTAATTTATCAATTTATTCTAGTTTGTTGGGAATGCCTTGTTCTTGAGTGTAGTCCAGCACACCTTCCCTTAATGTTGCAGCTAGCTTTCTAACCTCTGTCATGAAAGCACATTCTTTAAGCCCTATAGAAAGGGTTTCATATATAACCTCATTAAAAAAACGCCTAAAATTCAGCATACTGCAATAGAAATAACGTGGCTGCTCGGCGCTGCCTTGGGACAGACGACGTTGTTTAGTGTGTGGCCTTCTTTGGGGTAATTGTTTGCTCCTGTCACAAACATCCTCAACAGCATTCAAGAAGTCATTCTTCCCCAAGACTGTTAAATTATCTGCCCAGGATATCCTAGATTCAACAACGCATAAGATATTTAGGGACAGTTTTTACAATTATATGTGACCAAGATTTACGCCTATAGCTCCCCACGACCCCCTCTAGTTAAACTCCAAAGAAGATGTTTCTGGAGGACTGACTGCCAAGTACAAGTATCAAGTGCCAACACCGGGCAACTTCACACTTCATTGTTTCAATTCCCACTAACATTTCTACATGTTAGGACTTAGGACCCAGCCGAACTATATACATGTACATGATCGCCTATACTACCCGCGATGCAAATATTTTTGTATGCAAATAAAGAAACACTAAGTTTAAAAGATGGATGTGTCAACAGTGTCACAACCAGACTGTCGTCAACAAACACCCATCAAGCTTAAAGTGATTGATAGTGACAAGTGAGGTATTCAGCACAATAGTGTGTTCGTGCATTTAACTTGTGCATGTGCAAATTGAAATACTTGAAGAAAACTACACTAAAACAGGCATTCAAAAATTGTAACTTAGCACTACAGTAGGCCTAATCAAAGCTTGACGTGTACTGCTTTCTTTCCATTTACATGTGTAATCATCCTGGCATTAGAGCTTGCGGTATTGTATGAACACTAAATCAATGACAAAATGCCAGCCCCACCCCAACCCCCGCCAAAATTTTGTTTCTATTTTGCTTTGTCGTCATGCTTTGAAAACGTGCGGGGAAAAGGCATTTTTTCTATTTAATTTTTCTTCATTTTTATCGACCAGAAGAGGCCAAACGATTACATGAAAAATCCCAATGTTTATGATAAAAAAACCCACCAACCCAACCAACAAAAACACAACTTTCCCAAAAATATGGTATTGAACCCATCCTTGTTCTTTGTCTGTCTCGATAAGCCAGTGTGCCTTTAGGCCTACATCCGGGGAAAATATCTTGTTGAGATTCGGGACGACGGAAAAAAGAACAGTGAATGGATAATTGTGACCTTGCATTGTGATTGACTCGTTCTAAAAGGAATAGAAACGTGGTTATGCATTCCTTTTTAACTCTGCTCAGACGTCGTGGGTCAGCAGTTTTAAGTATTCCAAATTCAATAAGACTAGAAATGCAACTCCGTGTAGTAAACGGGCGCAGACATGATGTTAACCCCGGACAAGGTATCGAACCTTGTGCAGGCCAAACAGTGCATGTAGCCGTTGTTTGGCATACACAAGGGTTTATCCACTACTAACACTGGGCGAGGGTTCCCCCTCGTTTTCTCTGTTTTCTCCGAATGACGCAATCTACATTCAGAATTCACATCTTGGCATAAACAGAAAAAAGCCTTTTTCAACTTCTCTTAGTTGAGCTCTGAAGACAAATGATACTGTGTTCGATTTGGATGCTTCCATATTTATTTGAACAGATGAAATCAGAGAAAACATGTTTTCCTTAGAGGTGCTCTTTAAATTTATCATGACTATTATAACGTGGGGGTAGTGCGTTGCAATGTCATTTTTTCTAAAGATGGATTTTCTTGTATCAGCATCTCGGTTAACCTCACTCACTCACTTTGAAATGCATTTGAATTACAAATCCCTGTGTGGTAAGGTCTCACAGACTGTTCACTCTTTGCACGCTGCCGCCATAAGCATGGAGAACTCCGACCTGGCAGCTTAAATTATTAAAGTATAGCCGATTCAGTGATTTCTGTGTATCATGCTTACTGACTGGAACCAGTGACCCGGCTATAAAAATGTGAAGCCACTGGTGTAAGGTTCCTCGCGCTTATGGCGACTGCGTGCAAAGAACGAATTGTCCACTTGGGTGCACCCCGATAAATAAATTCCCATAGACACCAATGATAAATCCCTTTACTTCAAAATTGTTCTTAAAATACAACTCTCATTGGTGTCCAGGCTGGACAGAAAAATGATCTTCGACGTGTCCTCTTTCATTTTCCATAGTGGGTTGACCAATGAATTTTGGGATATTCTCACCCAATGCAGACCACCACTAAAAATGAAGGAAATTTCCCTGCTTGGAAAAGTAGCTAGTTGAAAATGCATATCTCTGAAGAAACGGCTAAGGCCACTTTCGGAAACGGTTGCATCCAAATTCCTCAGAATAGAAAGTCCTAAATCCGGGCCAGAGGTTCAGTGGCACTTTCCTTCAATTCCCCAATTCTATGGCTCTTAGGACTCTCTAATGTAGAATATTTTTAGTGAAAACTTTTATTAATAAGCTCTGCATACATATTTGTGGTCTTTTTAAAGGGGTGCACCCCTCTGTACATGATTAAGATGTGAATGTAGTGTACGAAATAGTGTCGTGTGCTTTGGACAAGGCTGATGAAAAAACATGCGAGCTTGTTTTACACTGAGCAATGGAAGACCAGTACATGTGTTCCGTGGTAATTACACTTTTCATTTTGACACAGCTATGTAGTGAAACTAAACTAATTCTTAAACCAATCACTTGGGTAATTTTGATTTTCTTTTCATTGTTTCCTGTGCAGTTGAAACTTGTTATTAATTTTGGGCATGACTAAAGCAGTTGAGGCGAGATGGATATTGGTTTTTTTGCCCAATATTGAGCGAACCTGATACAATTGTTATATATCTAACAAATTTTCGGAATAATTTATACTTCTTTTTAGAATGAATGGTTTGTTGAGAAGATTGTGCCTTACTGCAAATCTTCATTACCTCTTGTAGAATCAGCTGTGTTGGTTTATGATGCCCAAGTACTCCTTTCACGGTCAACTGTTGCCCTCTTTGAAGTTTCGGGAGGGATTCTACACGGAACCTGATTGTCCCACCTGAGGTTGATAATACTTCATACTGTGGTCGTAAATCCCGGGGTTTGCGGTGGCAGTATATATCTCCCCCCCCCCGAGTTTGCTGGGGGGGGGCTACTGAATGACCCCCCTCTCCTTTGTAATGAGCAAAAATAGAGCGGGCTTTAAAGAATTTTCAGACTCCGAAGACTAAAATGGATGCAATATCATTCAAAAGGGAAAGAAATCAAACACAGCCATATGCCATTCTGAATACATTTTACAGATGTACATCAATATCATGCACATCGGCCTCTATGCGGTGTCACCCCCCTGCTTTTCAAATGTCCATGGCCAAGCAGGTCATCCTCCTCTTTTCCAATCCCCCACCCCATCCTAATATCCGGCTTAAACTTACCCCACTGCTTTCATAGGAATGTTCCTTTGTGGTTTTGGGGGCTTTATGCTAAAGGTTTCTTTGCATCATATTGTGACTGCATTTACCTTTTGGTATAGCGATTTTATCATGTAGGACTGGCTCGAGTGAGAACCTTAGGTCTGCTGAAAATTGACCCATATGTTACAGAAACCCATTGAATTTGGTACCTCTTGTGTAAAATGGGACCCTGGAGCTGATCAAGTCGGGGAAGGGGAGTTTGGTTAGCGCCTTTGAAATTGTTCAAGGCTCCAATCTTTCTGTTACAACGTCATTGCAAAACGTCCAATCGGAGCTGACGAACCCATGGTCATATTGTGGCGTGTTCCTTGACAAAAACCCTTCTAAACTGCCACGTAGGACCTGTGAACATCTATACCCACTTCAAGATCTTTTGCAGTTGGTATCTCTCGCTGCTTGGCCCTGCTTGAAACCAATTTATCCGTTGCTGCACCATGTCTACGTTGACTCACCTTCGCGTGCTTCTGTTGGTATGTGGCCTAATCCATACTGGACTTGCCCGCTTGAATCCAGGTAATCTAAAATCAGCTTGAACGTAGAAAACAGTTGAAAACTTGGTTATGTTTTGCAGTGTTCTATTTCCCTGTCATTTAGCTTAAGTTTACGGAAGGTAATGTACGCACGCAGACAATGCCAAGATCGATTTGTGCGTCTACTATAATACCTTAGTTTAGTCTAGTACGGTATTGTTTACTAACAGAGAGTATTTTCGCCATCCTGCACTCTAAATACTTTAGTAAAGGTTGCTGTTTAACCTAGGTACTATAGATAGCAAAGATCTGATGTGATGTTGAAGCGCCTAGATTTGCTTGAAACTTGAACATTTTACTCTTTTGAATTTCAAAAAACAAAGAAAAAAAAGGCGAATAATATTTTTTACTTTTTCGGGGCAAACCGTTATTTTTTGGTACAATGGGCAAGTATGGGTCACCAGTATAAACAGAAAGCGCTAAAAATGAATTATGTCTTGGCATAAAGTGACCCGCACTAGCACCCTAATTTGGAATGAAAAGCCTGGAAATTTGTTTTTAAATATGTTAACTTAGATTCCAGTACGACAACCGAAACAAAATTACGTCAAACAGTACGATAGGAGCACAACCTTTGCGCAAAATGTGTTTGAAGTACTAATGTTGACCCTTTAGAAGAGACCTTTGGGTTTTCATTTCTTATAACCAGTTTCTTAATGACACATTTTGATTCCAGATTTTCTCTAAAATAAGAAAGCTGATGTAAGTGGAGCTCAGATTCTGTGATTAGAATGGTCCATGTTTACTGTTTTAATTTTACAGAGCTTCTTGCTATTGCTGAGATTAACCAGCAGTATAAGGCTGCAATGGAATCCGGTGACATGAATTCGATTCTGGCGCCGTACTCAGAAAACATTCTGTTTCTTCCAAATGGGCATCAAAGCATCGTTGGAAAAGATAGTAAGTCTGCCAAGTTGTGAAAATGTCAAATCTTATGAAACATTCACATGCTGCTTCGTTGATGTTGTGCTAGGTCTTGGAACAGTAAACCCTGGTTCACTGAACCTCTTTACTACAGGCTTCCGAAGAAATCTTCCGAAGATTAAATTGCACTTTTATTTACCATATTTAACTTAAGATCCGAGATCCTAGCATTATATAATTTTTACTTTGTGTTCACTACAGTGTCCTTAGGCTCGTGTCTTGTTAGATTACCCAAAATTAATGGTATCAAGGTTGTGAATTACTGTGAAGATCATTAGCCATATTTCGGGGCAGTTCTGTTGTTCAACAGAGAAACTTCCTCTGTGCACTGCTTGCGGCCTGCAAGATAGCAGCCATGCAAACCTTCTGTAGTGATTCAAATTCTGTATAGGTTTAACGACTTAATAACTGTAAAAAAATATAAGAGTATGGTGTAATGAAGGGTTTTTTTCCCTGCAGAATTGGCAAGCTATTTCAGCTCAGTGTTACCCCGCGTGGGGAGGATGGAATACAACATAAAGTATTTGGATTATATCAACCAGAGGACTGGATTGGTCTTGGAATTGCTGACAGTGACTGTTTTGGACAAGCAGGGAAACGTAACTCTCAAAGGAAGGTGGGTAATCTGATTGAAAAACGACCAATGTTGCTATTTACCTTTCAGGTATGTTTATGCCCCATTGAGACAACGTTCATAACAGCGCGCATGCGCGCTTCATTTTCAAGCGGACACCAACGGTTTTTCGTGCGAGTAGACGACGTCAGTAGCGCGGATTTTTTCAAGGACTGACCTGACAAATACCAAAGTGTAGAAGCATAAATAAATTTCGCGAGATTCTAAACGCAGAGCCACGAGCAACACACATTTTCCTCCATTCGTAAGAATTTTAAGTAACGGTGAATCTCAGAACAGTTTAAAAAGTGAATATTTGGACCCTTTCCACCAATGAGAAAAAAATCAAATGTGTAAAATTTTGCAGTTATTTTGGACTTACTTTCAATAAAAAGTAAGTTTTCTGAGACAAAATTCCAGTGTCAAATTAAAGTTTTACCCTTATTGCACTGACTTCACGCATTTATTTTGAATCTGCAGGATAACATTTTTAATAATCAGGTCATTTTTTATCGCCCCAAAATCGCACCGCTCCAACGGCGCACGAAAATTCAAAGCCATTTGCATCTATTCAGATTACCAGAACGGTATATCTGACAGTAGGCTGATGATTTTCTGTTAGATTGTACCGATTTTGTTAGTATCCATACCATTTCATAACCGACGTAGAATCGTCGTGGAGACATTTCCTGTTCATCACTTTCACTGCAACGGATAAACCAGTGCGAATCAGCATGATTGTGTGCATGAACATGTACTTGTACATTGGTTCAAATTCAAACTTGTTTTTCAAAATTTTTTGTCCGCATTCGATTAAGAGACTCTTCTACTGAGTATAAATCTCGTTTTTTTATAACTGGGAAAACTCATTCTCAAAAGAAATTTATCAAATTTGGCAACACTCAATTTTTTCAGGTGAACAATGGAATAATTTTGGGGTTATTAAAATCCACATTTTTTTCTTTACATTTTCCGACGCTGGGCATAAAATCAATGCTACTGAAAATGAAATGATTACTGTAATTTGAATTGTCATGAAAGAACTCATTATTTATGCTCGGATTCCAGGAAATCCATCAACAGAAGCGACGCGGCCTCATTTTGTGCCCAGAGCGCACGAAATTAGGTATAGCCTGTTGCTATGCAGCTGTTGTCAAACGCAAGTCTTGCGCGTGTGCACTTTGGTTATGAACATGCGGTGATAGAAAAGTAAAAAAAAAATCATAAATACCTTAGACAGTTTCCCTATTTAACAACTCGCAACGTTCAAGAAAAACACCTTGAACTGAGACATGGCAGTGTTTGCCTGTGGGCCAAGCTACATCAAACACGATGTGGTTTATTGAAGCGTGCGATACTGCATGTACTGTGTGCTATGTACATATACACCGTACATGCATCGTTATCTGGCGATGACGTCATCCAATCAGCCAAAAAAGGTGGAGTTTCGTGGGCGGGGAAATGTAGGATCTTTTTATTCATTCTGGGGTCACAATTAATGGGGTAAATATTAAATTTATGACGTTTATTAAATTGTTACGTATTTATTGTTATTATGAAATACTTGTGAACTGAATGATTTCTATTTCTGTTACCCTTTAAACGCACGTTTAAGACCGGCAAAGACACATATTTATTCCCTTATTAAATTAACATTTTGGAAAAAGTGATAAACAATACTTCATACAGCGTCTGTTTAAGACGTGTCTGTCCATTATCTTGCTTTCCACTCTCCATTATTCACTTTCAGGTGATTCATGTACAGATTTAATGTTTCTGGGGTTTTATTTTGGTCTTAATTTATACCAGGACCCTACTCCACTGGAAATGGGATCCACAGACTAGAGGTTTTAAGGTAATGCTGGAGATGATCAACAGCGACCAATAGAACCAGTAACGCCGTCTAGAGAATAGACCGCTGATGGACGTTTTGACCTCGGATAAGAATATGACATAGAAGTGTGAAAATCAACTACATTTTCCACTTGTAGGTGGATTGAGGTGTTTATCATGTCTTTTATTTTTCAATCTTTCATTTCAATGTTAGAATTATGACACCATGGTGGTCATAAATCAAGAACTATACAGTTCTTGGCGTTGAAATAAACACATTGTAGCATTAGAGGTAGGTGTAAAGTTTTTTCGAAATTGGAAATGCTGAAGAACAGTGCATAGTGCTGTGAATATATTTTTAGCTTGGTAGGTGTTCGGCTTTGGATGCTCCAAAAATCTTAGTTGAAACTCAAATTGAAATAATATCAATCCTTAAAATGATGTTTTCCTAGAATTTCTCTACATTTTAACACGTATTAAGAAGTCTTTTTCCGGACTTGGTCTGCCTAACAGTTTGCTGAATAAACAGAGGAATTATGTGCATGAGAAATTTCTGCGTACTGCTTGTAGACTGGTTTGTTATACAGTCAAGGTGTGCCTTGAATGGACGAAGGTACATAATACAGGGTTTCTTAGGATGCCACATCCGTTCGTTGGACTATACAAATTATCTTACAGATTGAGCCATATATAAGCGTTGGGCAATCTCTTTCAGATGAAGTATAAAGTGGTTGATTGGTCAGTCGGTGTCGTTGGCCCCTTGACCAGTCAGTGTTTCCGTTGACCAGTGCGCTGAAAACGATATGCCCAGCAAGATATGGGAGGGAGGGGTAGCCCCTTACATGTCCAATCCTTGTACACACCCTAGACTATTGTAACGTAACACATTTCCCTTAGATGTCTGTAAAGAGTTCCTGAGATTCTGAGATCAACCAACACAAAGGTGGGGGCGCTCTCAGTCCCATATCTTGCTCCATGTGGAAAACGATCACCAAAGATTTCGTTTTCTCAGTCAGATTGGGATATTGGAGTATCTATTAGAAAAAACCACGTAAGCCTTGTTTCGCGACTAGCTGGATAATTAAGCTCATGTTTTTGTAAGTGAGGAAAGACTGCATGTTGGATTGGTCTTTTTAAATTTGTTCCCAGGGAGGGCGGGAAAGAATAGTTAATGATAACTGCATCGCATCCTCGCATAATGATCGACCCTTTCCAAAAGACTGACTTTCAAAATGGAGGTTGGCCCTCAATAGAAAGCGTATCTTTCTCACCCGAGATACGGTACCTTGCATTTGCTCAGTACTTTGAATCTTCTTAATTCTTTCATACGTTTGAATACGTCCTTGAGGGCGTTGTTGCTAACGAACTGCCTGTTTCGTTCTTAACCGGTCTTGATTTTTCTATTTAAATGGACTGTCTGGTTTTACCATTACGTCTTGCTTAAATCTGTTGGTTACTCGTACGTCGCTTGTTCACCGTTAGTAAATTCATTTGAAGTAAGATATGGGACGGAGAGAACCCCTCCCGCCTTTGTGTTGGTCATTGTTTGATCGGAATCCCATGAATTCTTTACAGACTTCTAGGGGGATGTGTTAGGTAACAATAGTCTAGAGTGTGTATAGGGATTGGACTGGTAAAGGGGGACCCCTCCGTCCCATATCTTGCCTGGTTTAAGTAAATTTGCTGAGCAATTAGAAATGTTAACTGTCATTCTCTTGAGGCGGAATTCGTATCACTAGACTGATTGACAAATTCGTCAACCGCCAAATACTGAGGATGCCGTGGCGCCTTTTCTTCGCCATTCTGTTAATAATCAGCTCCTTCAGATTGGGCAATGGAACTTGAAAGGTAAACTCCCGCACCATAATATGGAAAAGTCTCAAAGATTTGATTTGCCAGGGCAACCTAACGCGGCAGCAGGGCAGAATTTTCCAAACAGCGTTCATTTTCAGTACACACATCAGAAAATACTTTGCTTATGCGATCCTATCCGGTTCGTAAGTGTGACGTCACTACATTTTAAACCACGCCCACTGCACATGCACTGCACGTAGGGTTACATGCATCGATCGCCGTTTTCATCGAACCGTGGAAACAGAAGTTTACGTGCACCTTCAGCGATTGTCCAATGGGAGCCCGCGAATCGTGGCGCGCCCGCCTTTGTGACGAAGTCATTTACAAACCGGATTTCATGGCCGAAAAAAATTGTTGCTACGTTGAACGGGATATATTTGTCCGAGCGCAAATGTTTCACGAGGATTTTTCAGGTCGCGACTCGGAATTATTCGTGTTTCATGCTCATTCGCTGCGCCCACCTGATTCTATTGAATGAAAACTGAATCGAACAACACAGAAAACACAAAATCGATTCTAGGTTTTATTATACAGAATGGGAGACGGGGGGTTCACAATGCGGCTGAGTGCTTCGAACCTTCTGCTTGCAAATAGGTGCTATAAAAGTTCAATACAGAATTGGTGAAAAGCTTTAAAAAACAAATTGGAGCTTTCATTTCGAAAACAAAGAACACTGGTCAAAAACTAAAAACATAAAGGTCAACCCAAAATTAAGTCATTGTAAATTCTGGACAAAATGGCTGTTAAATCTTGAGCTATTTTGAACAATCGTTGAAATATGATCAACGTCGAATGCATCACTAACGAGTCAATTATACAAACTTCATGTAAAAATAATAATAAATATGTACAGAGTGATCTTACGACTTGGAAAGGCTAACTTATTATAATCTATATAAAATTCCAGCAATTCTATATTTTATTTATGGGTTTTGCCCTTACCCGACGTATACATTTATTAATTAACACTGTATACTCAGTGGTTGTCTGAGAGCTTAAGAAAAAAATTAAAAGGGCAAAATCCATAATTAGAATTAAAATCTCCCCGACGCAAAGTACATCTTGACAATAGTTCGCAGTACCCGCTGCTACATCTGACTCGGACCGGCCAGCCGACCCGGCAAGCTCGGTGGTCGAGTGGTTATGACGTCTGCACTATAGAACTTTTTCCTGTGATGTCAAAGGAGCTGGACCGCGATGTGTTGTAATGGTAATGAGTATACATATAGTGTTGTGATGGTAATGAGTATACATATAGTGTTGTGATGGTAATGAGTATACATATAGTGTTGTGATGGTAATGAGTATACATATAGTGTTGTGATAGTAATGAGTATACATATAGTGTTGTGATGGTAATGAGTATACATATAGTGTTATGATGGTAATCTACTTATTCGAGATAAACTAGTTAAGTATGCAGCGTTCACACGTGTGTACGTGGTTGAAGTAGGTTTGCGGGTACACCATGGAATCAATCTGTTTTGAGCGAGGTGTGCTCAGACACTTATCGACCCTATTATCAGTTTGGCAGCCAATCTCATCTTTACAAGGCAACCGCGGACTCGGGTAATATCATATTGGATAACTTCAATCGATTGGAATTGAACCCAATTTTATCCAATTCGCGCCATTTTGGATAAAATCGTCACGAACTTAAGTTATTCCTATACTCCGATGAAATGTTTGTTTCCCCTCGGACTAAGTAACCACTAGTTTATCATTGTATGTCCCAAAGAGTCCACAACAGAGTAGCACATTTAACAGTAAACCTCATTCGTTTGTAAGCGTGTTCAACTTGATAAGCATAGGGCTTTGGGAAAGAATTTGTGTTGAATGGTTCAATTCGGCTCAAGAATAGATAAAGGATGATCGTGACCTCGCTATGATTTAACTCTATCCAAAGGACTGAAAATGGGAGGTCGGTAATGTATAGACAAGGATAGCAATGCATGTTTCTTATTCTGTTCAGACATCCCGGATCAGTCGTGTGAATACTGCAAACCCAATTTGACGTAGAATTGGCGTGCGAAGAGTTAGTATAGAAATGAGATTCGCATCAATCCCACTTCATCAATATTTCAATTCGTAATCTGTTTGGGAAGGTGATTTTCAGCCAAAATGGTGTGACTACACAAAATGGTGTGACTACGGCAACTTTACACAATGAAGAGCCGGTTCAGTGATTCCTGTGTATGTTGCTTATTGATGGGAACCACAGTGACCCGAATTTAAATGGTGAAGCTGAATAGAGGGTCCACACGCTTATGGGGACAACGAGCGAAGAACGAATTGTCCCTCTGCGTGCACCCCTACAATGAATTCCCAGACGCCAGTGATAAACCCCTATACTTTAAAATTATTCTACAAATACTCTCAAAGGTGTCCAGGCTGGACAGAAAATGATGTTCAACATGCCCTCTTTCATTTTCCATTCAAGTTTTAGTGGGTTCACCAATTAACTTTTTAGAAATTTCCCCCCCCAAAGCAGACCACCCTTAAAATGAAGGAAATTTCACTACCTGCAAAAGCAGCCATTTTGAAAACGCATCTCTCTGAAAAACGGCTAAATAGCGCCACTTTCGGACCAGGTTGCGTCCAAATTGGTCAGAATTGGACGTCCTGAGTTCAGGCCAGAAGTTAAATGCCACATTTCTTCAATTCTCCAATTCCACGGCTTCAGGACTCTCTAACGTAGAATATTTTTAGTGCATCACTTTTATTACTGAGCTCGGCGGACATATTTGTGCCCTATTTACACGGGTGCGCCCCTCTGTACACGATTAAAATGCACAAATTGTGTAGGGCGAAGTGTCGGCATACTTTTGAAAAAAACACAGTGAAAAGCCAGCACTGTAGTTCCATGGTAGAAGATAATACTTTTCTTTGCGCAAGAAGAATGCTGTAACACAGCTATGCTGTGCCGTTGGAACTTGTAATCAATTTTGGGAATGACAAGAGCAATTGAGGCAAGATGGATATTTGTTGTTTTGCCCAATATTGAGCAAACCTGATGCAGGTTTTGCATCTAAGAAATTTTCACAATATTTTACACCTCTTATTTGAATGAACGCTTTGTTGAGAATAGTGTGCCTTACGGCAGATCTTCATAATCTCTTGTAGACTCAGCAGTGCTTGTTTATGTTTAATATGTAGACTGTTGCCCTGTTCCATTTCTAGTTTTGGGAGAGATTCTACACCGAAGCTGATTGCCCACAAGAGGTTGAACAATGCTTTCATAAAATTTTCCCGAGTGGTTTGTGGGGCATTGTGCTAAGGTTACGTCACATCATACATTTGTAGCGATTTTGTCACATAGGACCGGGGTGAAAAACCCAGGCCCAGGTATGCAAAAATTCGACACAAATAATACAGACACCCATTACATCTGGTAACTCTTGTGTAAAATGGGATTCTGGAGAAGACTTAAATGGCTTGATATGACTTTTCATCGGGACAAATGTCGAGATAGGGTTTCGTTTAGCGCTTTTGAAATTGCCGTTCAAGGCTCCAAACTTTTTGTAACAATGCCAATGCAAAAACGTCCAATCAGAGCTGACGAATCTATTGTCCAGCTGTTGGGTTTGACCTTGGCCACAAACCTTAGCTGTGCCACCGTGACATAGGACCTCTGAACATACACCTTCACGGTCTTTTGTAGTTAATATCTCTCGATACTCAGCTCCTGTGAATCCAATTCACCTGTCGTTGCACCATGTCTACGTTGATCTACCTTGGCGTGCTTCTATTGGCGGGATGTTTCCTTATCCCTACTGGACAAGCCGGTTTGAATCCAGGTAATAAAAAGTCTGCTTGAACACAGAAACAAGGTTGAAGAATCAGAAATGTTTTGCAGTGTTAAATTTCTCAGTCATTTAGCTTAAGTTAAGTTACAGACTGTAATTATAAACGCACACGGACAATGCCAAGATCGGTGTGTGCGTCCGCAATGTTATGTATTTTTTAATCAGCCTAATAAGGTATTGTTTACTAACAGAGTGCATTTTAGCCATTGCACGCTTCCCCTGAATAATTGTAGTTAGGGTGGTGCGAAAAAAATAGCAAAGAACTAGTGAGTGTTGAAGCGCCAAGATTTGCCTAAAACCTGAATGTTTTGCCTTTTTTGTATCAGTTGAATAATATTTATCATTTTCTCGGACAGCAAGCCGTAAATTATTGCATCATTACAATGAGCAAAATATAGGTTTTAAGTTTAAACAGAAAGCTCTGAAATATCTTCCAAAACCACTACGGAGCCTTAATTTGATATGAAAGGCTTGGAAATTGTCCAACTATTTTAAAAGTCAATTAGTAAGATAACCAAAATTAATAACAACGTCAAAGAGTATTGAGGCCTTTCCCATGGGTACCCGTTTTTCTCCATTAACATTACACACGTGTTCAGTGTGTTTATTTGCCATAATCGCTTTCGGGGCGATTTTGACGGATACGCAACTCTTCGCGTGTTAAAGTGTTCACATGCATATAGAAAGGCGCGTTGAAAGGAATACAACTTTTGTGGATGTGTGTTCGAAACTAGATACTGCCGTGGACCATTTAGAAAAGGTGGACATCTTTGGTTTTTCATTCCTTATAAACAGTTTCTGAATAACATATATTTTGAATCCGGATTTTCTCTAAAATAAGACACTTGATATAAGTGGATCTCAGACATTGTGCTCAGAATGCCGATGTTCACTGTTTCACAGATCTTCGTGATATTCCTCGGTTGAATTGGCAGTATAAGACTGCACTAGAATCCAATGACATCGATTCGATTCTGGAGCTGTACGCAGACAATGCTCTGATTCTCCCAAATGGACATCCGGGCTTCGTGGGAAAAAATAGTAAGTCTGTCAAGTTGTTGAAATAAGATGACTAATCTTGTGAAACATACACGTGCCCCTTCGTCCATTTTTGTGCCGTGTCTTGGGACAGTAAATGCTGGATTTCGACTAACGTCTGTATGTGTCTCATTGCCAAAACCCAATTTTATGTCTTGTATTGTCCTATTTTGTAATATGTATGTCTGTCAATAGGTTAGGGTACAAAGGTAAATTTATGCTTCACCCTTTTCCTACATGTTGTTCTTTAACGTGTGCTTTATCTTTCTGCTTGACATTGTACATTTTCAGGCAAACTATTGCAAAACTTAATTCATCTTCTACTCTGTAACCACTGTATGAACAACATTAAATAACCGTCTGTCAAACTATTAAAAAATAGTAAATATCTAAGTTCCTAAATTTCACTTTGTGTTCACCATCATTTTACTACGATGTCCTGTGGGTACATTGTCTCGTTGGATTCTGCAAAAAGTTGATGCTATCAAGGTACCAATGTGGATTTTTGAAGAACATTACCCTTTTGTGGAAGCCAATTTTCAGGGAAATTCTTATGTTCCACAGGGAAACCCCTTTTTGCATACCCTATGGCCTGCAAGATGGCAGCCATGCAAACCGTTTATAGTGTGGTTTAAACTCTGTACAGGTTGGACGACTTGTGATAATGTTTCTTTCCTGCAGAATTGGCAAGCAGCTTGAGATCGTTACCCTCCGTGGGAACGATGGAATTCAACATTAGGTATTTGGATTTTATCAACTGGAATAATGGACTGGTCTTGGAACTGATATCACACACCGCGTGGGACGATCAGGGAAACGTCATTTTCAAGGGAAAGTAAGTAGGACCAGTGTAGCTGATAAGTTGATCGGTAAGGTAAAAATAATTGAATTAACATTTTGTAACAGAATTTTATCTCTAAATAACACTAGCAGTAAAATTTTTATTTATTTTGGATTTAATTTTGATCAGGACCCTACTCTTGTGGAAATGGACTGGGACTTGGAAGATAGTGCTTCGGATGATTAACAGTGACCAATAGAATCAGTAACGTCACCTACAGAAAACCCGCCGATAAACTTTTTTTTATCTCAGATAAGAATATGACACACAGGTGTGAAAATCGACTGCATTGTTCACTCGGTTCCTATAGGTGGACTGATACTTTTATGATCCACTTAAATTTTCAGTCCTTGATTTAGACCTTAGAATTGACCATGTTTTATGAGCATTAAGTGTTCAGTACAGTTGTGATGGTTAAGAGAAACACGTTACAGCATTAGAGGAGTACATTTGTCAAAACGGAAAATGCTGAATAAGAGGAAATGGTGCTGTGAATATATTTCAGCTAGTTGGGCTATAAGGTGTTCGCCTTTGGAAGCTCGAAATATCTACGATAAGACTTAAACTGGAAAAAGAACACATCCTTAAAATTACATGGAATTCCTAGAATCTCTCTACATTTTTAACACGTATTAACTAGCCTTTTCGGGAATGGTCTACCTAACATAGTTTGCCGAATGAAAAGAGGAAATTTTACATGAGAAATTCCTTTGTGGACTGTATTAGTTATATCGTCAAGGTGAGCACTGAATGGACGAAGGTGCATTATACATGGATCTTGGGGTGGGTGCAACATCCGTTCGTTAGACGAATCTACCCAAAATGTCTAACAAATTGAGCCACGCATGAGGCAGTCTTTTCCAGATGAAGTCCCGGGCGGTTGATTGGTTATTTGATGTCGTTGACCCCGCGACCAGTCAGCGTTTCCTCTGACCAGTGTCAAGAACCATCACCGAAGATTTTGTTCTTTCAGCCAGTTTGAGAAGTACATGTACATGTTCGGGAAAACATGTAGGCCTTTTTTTGTGATACGTAACCATCTGGATAAGCTCGTGCCTTTATAAGTGGAGAAAGATTGTGTGTTGGATTGGTCCTTTTTACTTTTCTCCCAGGGAGGGCGGGAAAGAATAGTGAATGGATAATATTCATCGCCAATAATTGATTGACTCTGTCTAAACGACTCACTTACGAATGGAGGTTGACCCTCAATAGAAAGCATATCTTTCTTACCCTTGAGATACAGTACCTTGGCTCAGTACTCTGAATCTTTTAATAAAAAAATTCCTTGATACGCCTGAATAGGTTTTTGAGGGCGCTGTTGCTAGCTGTGCGTTTTCCGTCTTATTCGGTCTTGATTTTTCTATTTAAATTGACCTTCTCTGCTGTTTTTACCATCACGTCATGGTTTTAAATCTGTTGGTTTCTCGTACATCACTTGTTCACCGTGTTCATCGGCCCTTCAGTGCAGAATTTCTGCACTATCCTTTCAAGCATAGAATCCTCGCGTGCGGAACTCATGAAATACATTTGTGCCAACGTTTTCTCGTAAGCGCAGAATTTTACAATAAGCAGCGCTGTGATATTGGGCCGAGGCCTACTTCCCATGGAAGTATATATTCAACATCTCATTAACATTACAACGGATGCTATCAGGCATGGGCCTAAAATGCCTACTTCTTTATTTAAGTAATCCACGATCCCTCGGTAATAAGGTATAAGGTCGACTATCTCAGTGTTTTCCTAAACCAGAAGAAAGTTCACATTGTGCGAATAATTTCAACTTACAGTTACACTGCGGCAATTACTTCAGCATCCAAGGAAACAACTTATCATCGCAACCAAGGAAAGACCGTCAAGGAGATGGAGTGGTAGTTTATGTTAATGAACACCTTGAAGCAAAAACATTCAACTCCATCGATGTCCCTATAATGACACTGAGGCCATCTGAGTGAAACTCCGACCACGTGGACTGCCGCACACAATGCCAAACTTCATTGTTGATACAGTGTTTTTGGTACATCCTCCCCAAAGTCACGTTGCTCAGACACTCATCGGCCATAGGGCCTATCATCAGTTCGGCAGTCGATCTATTCCTGACAAGGCAACCCGATTTGGGTGATATCATATTGGGTATCTTAAATCGATTAGAATTGAAGCCGATCTTATCCAATACCCGCCATTTTGGATAAAATCGTCACGAACTTAAGTGGTTCCCATATTGCGGTGAATGTTTTTTCCCCTTCGGACTAAGTGACCACAAGTTTGTCATTGCATGTCCCAAAGCGACCATTACTCGTTCCGTCACTCGTCAGATGAGGACAGTTAGACCTATGAAAGACAGTGAAGTGCGCGATTTCAAGAGGTACATGGTTATCTGACCCACATGATCGAAATGTTTCATCGCTGCAAGTTCGAAAAAATTCTGGCTCACGTCTTTCGATATTTATGTCCGTTTATGTCTATCGATACTAAATTCAATAAAATAGTAGCACCTTTAAGAGTAAACAGTAGACCTAATTCGTTTGTAAGCGTGTTCAACTTGATAAGTCTATGGGCTTTGGGAAAGAACTTGTGTTGAATGGTTCAACTCGGCTCAAGAATAGAGAATGGTTGTGACCTCGATACGGTTTGACTCTTTCCAAAGGACTGAAAAAAGGAGATCGGTAATGTATAGACACGGACAGCAATGCATCTTTTTATTCTGTTCAGACACCCTGGATCAGTCGTTTGAATACCGCAACCCCAATTTGACGCTGCATTGGCATGCGAAGAGTTTGTGTAGAAAATTTGCATCAATGCCACTTCATCCTTACCTCGACGTTTTCTTTCGGCTATCATATAATTTTTCAGACGTCCTATACTTAAATCGCTGAAGTTTTTAAAGTTTTTTGGCTTTATGTCTCTCGATATTCCAATTAGTAATCTTTTGGGGAAGGTGATTTTCAGCCAATGGTAAAACGGTGTGACCACGGCAGCTTTACAAAATTAATGTAGCCAGTTCAGTGATTCCTGTGTACATGTATATTGCTTATTGCCGGGAATCACTACCCCGTTACATTTAAATGTGAGAAGCTGCCATTTAGAGGTTCACCAAGCTTATGGCGACAGCGTGCAAAGAACGGATTGTCCCTCTGGCTACACCCCAATAAATAAATTCCTGTAGACACCAGTGATAATACTTCATACTTAATATTGGAGAAATTCCCACCCAAAGCAGACCATCCCTAAAACTGTTGGAAATTTCCCTGCCCAGAAAGCAGCCATTTTGAAAATGCATCCCTCAAAAAAAAAAAAAAAAAAAAAGCTACATGTTCACCCTTTCGGATCCGGGTGCATTCAAATTGGTTAGAATTGGACGCCCTGAGTCCACGACAGAGGTTCAACGCCACATTTCTTCAACTCTCCAATTCCATGGCTCTCAGGACTCTCTAATGTAGAGTATTTTTAGTGCGTAACTTTTATTAATGACCTCGGCGGACATATTTGTGGCCTAATTAAAGGGGTGCGCTCCTCTGTACACGATTGAGACGCACAAATTGGGTAGGGCGAAGTGTGTAGGGCATGCTTTGGGAAAAAACGAAGTGGAGAGCCAATACTGTATAGTTCCGTGGTAGAAAATTGCACTTTTCGTTGCGCAAGAATAATGTTGGATATTGTTGTTTTGCCAAATATTGAGAAAAACAAATTTTCAGAAGAATTTACACTTCTTTATAGAATGAATGGTTCATTGAGAACAATGTGCCTTACTGCAAATTTTCAATATCTCTTGTAGACTCATGCAGTTATGTGTATTTGTTTTAACGTCCAACTACTTACAACTCTGTGTAAACTGTTGCCCTGTTCATTTTCAAGTTTCGAGAAGGATTCTACACCGAACCTGGTTGTTTCACAAGAGGTTAAACAATGCTCTTATAAGATTTCCCGTGCGGCATTGTGCTAAGGTTACTTCACATCATACATTGGTAGTGATTTTGTCACGTAGGACCGGGGTGAAAAACCCAGGCCAAGTTCTGCAAAAATTTGACACAAATAATGCAGACACCCATTACATTTGGTAACTCTTGTGTAAAATGGGACCCTGGTGAAGATGTAAAGAGTTGATGTGACTTCACCTCGGGACAAATAAGTCGAGACAGGGCTTTGGTTAGAGCTTTTGAAATTGCCGTCCAAGACTCCGAACCTTTTGTAACAATGTCAATGCAAAAACTCCAATCAGAGCTGACGAATCTGTTATCCTGTTGGGTTTGACCTTCGCAACCAACATTCTTAGCTGTGCCACATAGGACCTCTGAACATACACCGTCACGCAGTTAATATCTCTCGATACTCAGCTTCTTGTAAATCCAATTCACCTGTCGTTCCACCATGTCTACGTTGATCTACCTTGGCGTGCTTCTGTTGGCGGGATGTTTCCTTATCTGGGGTCCCAGACTTTGTGATTAGAATGTCCATGTTCACTGTTTTAATTTCACAGATCTTCGTGATATTCCTCGGTTGAATCGGCAGTATAAGACTGCATTAGAATCCAAGGACATGAATTCGCTTTTGGCGCTGTACGCCATAAATGTTCTGATTCTCCCAAATGGGCATCCGGGCTTTGTGGGAAGAGATAGTAAGTCTGCCACGTTGTGAAATATTCACATGCCGCTTCGTTCATTTTTATGCCAGCTTCGGAAGAAATATTCCGAGGATTATGAGACCAGATTAATAGGAACCTGATTTAAGTAGATATCCAAGTTACAAGCGAAAAATAAATGTCACTTTGTATTCACTTTCATTTTAGTACGATGTCCTTCGGGTAGTGTCTCGTTGGATTTCCCAAAGTTGATGCTATCAAGGTTGTGAATTCTTGAAGAACATTACCCTTTTGTAGTAGCCATTTTGCAGGGAAATTCTTTTGTTCCACAAGGAAATCCCTTTTTGCATACCCTATGGCCTGCAAGATGGCAGCCATGCAAACCGTTTATAGTGTGGTTTGGACGAACGTGCAAAAAAAGAAGCATGATGTGATAATGTTTCTTTCCTGCAGGATTGGCAAGGTACTTGAGATCGTTACCCTCCGTGGAAAGGATGGAATTCAACATTAGGTATTTGAATTTTATCAACCGAAATACTGGACTGGTCTTGGAGCGGATAACACACACTGCGTGGGGTGATCAGGGAAACGTCATTCTCAAAGGAAAGTTATTAAGTAATCAGATTGAAAAAAGGACCAGTGTAGCTGATTAGTTGATCGGGTAAGTAAAAAAAAAATTGAATTAACATCTTGAAACAGTGTTATATGTAAATAACACTAGCAATAACATTTTATTGATTTTGGATTTAATTTTGATCAGGACCCTACTTTTGTGGAAATGGACTGGGACTTGGAAGATAGTGCTTGAGATGATTAACAGTGACCAACAGAATCAGTAACGTCACCTACAGAAAAACCCACAGATAAACTTTTTTTACTTCAGATTAAGAATATGACAAAAGGTGTGAAAATTGATTGCATTTTCCACTCGGTTCCTAAAGGTGGACTAGTACTTTTATCATGTACTTAAATTTTCAGTCCTTTATTTAGACCTTGTTGTTTTGTTTTAATGGCGCTTTCAGCAACTCAGGCTATTTGCGCCAATAACTTTACGTTTATTCATACACTTTATTAATCAGCATCACATTACGAAGTTAGGAAGAAGGTCCAGTTTTAGAGGCAGGGTATTTAGACCTTAGAATTGACCATGTTTTATTAGCACTAAGTGTGTTTAGTACAGTTGTGATGGTTAAGGGAAACACGTTACAGCATTAGAGGAGTATATTGTTTTTTTAACTTAAATGGTGAATAACAGTGTTTGGTGCTGTGAATATATTTTCAGCTAGGTGGGCTATTAGGGGTTCGCCTTCGGATGCTCCAAATATCTAAGATAAATCTTAAATTGAAAAAAAAAACATTTTATCCATCCTTAAAATGATATGGAATTCCTAGAATCTCTCTACACTTTTAACACGTATATATTAACAAGCCTTTTCAGGAATAGGTCTGCCTAACACAGTTTGCCGAATAAAAAGAGGAGTTTTGCATGAGAAATTCCTGTGTACTGCTCATAGACTGTACTTTTTATATCGTCTAGATGTGCATTGAAAGGACGAAGGTTCATTATACAGGATCTTGGGATGGGTGCAACATCCGTTTGTTGGAAGAATCTACACAAAATGTCACAGATTGAGCCACGCATGAGGCGACATGATCCGTCCAGTGGTGTAACTATGGAGGGCGGGGGGGGACACATCCCCAGCGGATGTCCGTACCCCCTGGTGACACCCCCCCCATTTGAAATCTCCATTGAGTTTAAATATCTATGCAGCTACAGCTTATTTTCTTGTGGTACTCCCTTAAAATATCTGCACACCCCCCCCGGGTTCTCCCCCTTCAGAAATTTACCCCAATAGTTACGCCACTCGCTCCGTCGCTGTCAGCTTTGTATCGATATGTTGAAGGTGTGGGCGTATATAAAGAGGCTAATGTTACTGCAGTCAATACTGAAGAAAATCAGGTTCATTCAACTGCCTTTCGACGATCATCCTGGCTTGCAGCGATCACCCAAACTTGCTAAAATGTTACTTGGACTTGCCATTTTCAATCGCAATGTACTCGGTCATGCGTGACAGTAGTTGGGCAATAAAGATATCAATGGAAAGCCAAGAAGTTGCTTTTAATTGTTCAACCACATATAACTTGTCAAAGCTTTCCTGGCAATGCCCACCTTTGTTCTTCCTGACGTCAATAGAAGGGAGCCACCCCACGCTTTTGTATTCGGCTCGGTAAAATGGCCGCTGGTTGGCTTCTTTTTCATACAAAGGCGTTGCAATCCAGGTTTTTATATATATATATGTCTGTGCTTACAACCCTAGTAAAACTATTGCCCTGTCTTGTGTTTGCGTGTCTTGCTGTTCAGTTTTGAAATATTCTCAAATTTCCTCCAATACTTAAATTGATTATTCCCGGACCAACCTGGATCAACCCATGCTTTGTAAAACGCTTTCCCGTGTGGTTTCTGGGACTCCGTGCTAAAGCGTTGGGAACAATGAATGGCCTTGTGAGCGATTTTGCTGATGTATAAGACGGGTGTCAATAACCTCAGATCTACTGAGAATCGGCAGTCACTTTTCAGATTCCCTTTGACTTTGATATCTCATGTGTAAATGCGACCCTAGGAACGATGAGAATGGGATTTGGTGGCCTTACTTTGATGCAAACTAACAGTGAGGGGGTGGTGCTCTGTTGGTGTTATCCCAAGTCTTTAGACCTTTATTATTAATATTTCTGGTAATGACACCAAGGATTCCTCAAAGCGCCCTAGGCACTGCAGCTCGCAAGCCCGACAAAACCTGTAGAGAGGAGACAATGAGAAGCAGTTAGAGTTTTAGAGGTGGGAGGAAAACACCAGAGGAAGATTCTGGGTAAAACCCACGGAATCAGGTAGGGACTGAACACCCAATCCACATGTGGACCCAGCCGGGAATCGAGCCCATTCCACAGAGGTGGAATGCGGGGAAAGAACCACTACGCCCACCCGACTCCCCAATTTCAATTTCTGTTTGAGCAGGTAATTTTCAGCCAGTGATTCAATGCGACTAGACACACACTTTAATTCCGTCTACATGGCCCCTTTCCTATCCCGTTAATGTCCAAATACAGTGTACTTGTTTCTAAATTGTTGCCTTGTATTATTTATTTCAAATTTCAGGAGAGATTCTACAGCGAACTTGATTATCCCATGCATGACAGGTTGCAATGCTTCATAGGAATTTTCCCATGTGGTTTCTGGGGTTTTATGCTAAAGGTTTCTTGGCATCATGTTGAGACTACATTTACACTTGGTAGTGATTTTGCCATGTAGGACCGGAGTGGGAAACCTCAGGTCTGCTGAAAATTGACGCTTATGTTACAGACACCCATTGAATTTGGTACCTTTTGTGTAAAATGGTCCCCTGGAGAAGATGTAAATTGCTGACGGTAGCCTTGCTTGTGGACAAAGAAGCCACTGACCATTGCAACGTCAGGGCTTTGGTTGGCGTGTTTGCAATTTTACATGCAAGGCTCCAATCTTTTTGTTAAAAGATCACTGTAAAACAACCAATCAGCGCTGACGAAACTTTGATCCTTTCACGGTTTTGTCCTTGCTAAAAGGCCTTCTTAACTGTGCCACGTAGGACCTCTGAACATAGACACGGTCACGATCTTTTGCCGTTAACATCTGTCGATACTTTGCTCTTCTTGAACACAATTCACCTGTCGTTGCACCATGTCTTCGTTGATCTACCTTGGCGTACTTCTGTTGCTGGGATGTTCCCTCATCACCACTGGACATGCTCGTTTGAATCCAGGTATAAAGATCGTTTGTACACCCGCAACGTCACTTATTTAGTTTGATTTAACAAGGTACCGGTATTGTTTACTAACTGAGTGTATTTTTGTTATTCTGCACTCCCCAAATAATTTTAGTAAAGGTTGCAATTTAGGTAAGGTTTACATTTTTACTCAGTGTAGCAAAAATCTGATGGACGATGTTGAAGCACCAAGCGTTGCTTGAAACTTAAATATTTTACTCTCTAGAACTGAAAATTTGACAAGCCAATGACATCTTTCTTCCAAAGGAGCAACCGTAACGGTATCCTAATGTTAAATTATTTTAAAAGTCAGCTCCCTGTAAGAAAACCAACAATAAACAGTATCCAGTAGTTTGTAAGGACCACGTGCTTTGCAGAAAATGTGTTTCAAAGTCTCATACTGCCATGGACCCTTCAGAATCGATACTGACCTTTAATAAATTTTCATTCCATTAAAAGTTTCGGAAGGACATGTTTAGTCCATAGAATCTGGATATTCTCTCATGTAAGAGAGCAGATTAGTTGGGCTCAGATTGTTTAGCAGAATGCCCTTGTTTATTGTTAATTTCACAGCGCTTCGTGGTATTGTTCAAATGAACCAGCAGTACAAGACTGCATTAGAATCCGATGACAAGGCTTCAATTCTTGCGATGTACGTGCCAGACGTACTGGTTCTTCCAGAAGGGTATCCAGGCTACGTAGGAAAAGAAAGTAAGTCTGCCAAGTTGTTGAATCAAGATGAAAAATGTTGTGAAACATTCCGAGACCGACTTTGTTGATTTTTGTTCCGTGTCTTATAAAAGTAAATCTGGATTGTCGACTAATTTTCAATCTAGTCACGGTTTATATTTTCGGTATTCTGGCCCACAACATCGCGTTTTTTTTCAGCATGCACTTCTTTAAAAGGCTCCCAAAGAAATCATCCGAGGAGTATTAGATCAAAGAAATAGTTACCCAATATAAACGTAGATCCAAGAGCCCGGCTATAAATTTCACTTGCACTTTTCATTTTACTACTGTGTCCTTTGCCCTGTGTCTCTGTTTTATTGTCTCGTTGAATGACCCATAAGATCAATTATATTGAGGTTGTACATTCCTTAGAACACTACCACTTGTGGCTCAAATTCTATATAGGCTGGACGACTTACCACCTGGGAGTATATTGTGATAACATTTATTTTCCTGCAGAATTGGGGAACAACATGAACTGGATATCTTATGTAGGAACGGTGGAGTACGATATAAAGTATTTGGATTTTCTCAACGGGAATAATGTAAGGGTCCTCGAACTGAAAACATCTACTGTGAAGGACAAGCAGGGAAACATAATGTTCAAGGGAAAGTAAGTAATCAGATTAAAAAAGGTTGAAAAAAGATTTAAAAAGTGAATTTCGACCCCTGACACTGCACGTTACCTTTTATATAATATGGCAGATCAAAAGCTGGTCATGCCAGAACAAAATTGACTGTGTTATGATATTTTGTCCAAACACTTTTTTGGTCTAATTTCGAGCTCTGCATGTAATCGTTTGTAACCCAGATGGAACGTAAGACGTGAAGACGCAGACACGAACGGAAGAGACAGTGCATGACGTCATTCCACCCCAAAATTGCGACAAAATGGCGTTAGTCCGCGATGTTTGGCGGAAAATACCTTTTACATTGACTGTACCGCTTTATGGTGCCAAACTTTACTCCAGTTTCGTGCATTTTCATCGATGTTCAGCTATATAGTTTATCACAAGGTGCAATTTTTAAGCATTTTTAAGGAGAAAATGGGCAAAATTCGTGAAACTAAGCGAGGGGGAATCATTGCATGCCAGTCATGCCAGCATGTGTGTTGGGGTGGGGATACAACGGCTGCTCGACGCAGAGCAAAGTTGAACCTGGCTCAACTTTGCTGATCGTTCGCTGGCTGGTTTGCATTTGTCTGCATTGTCGACGACACCTCCGTTTGCGATATTTCCATATGTCCGCGTTGCGGTTCGTGTCTTGATTGCATTGCTCTCTGCATTTCTAACGCCGATATGGAAACCAGCTTAAGTTTCTACTTGCAAGTTGGCTTATAGGTGTCTGTTCAATCGGAGACTTCTATACGAGTGGTAACAGACATACTGGCCCTGTTTCAAGGCATTGCGCATGCTTAGGACTGTGTGCACATGCTCAGAACAGGTGAAAAAGGACCGGTATGTTTGTCGCCACCAAGCATCTCAAAGTCTCCCATTGCCTCCTCTCAATTTACTTTTGGACCATTCATGTACATGTACAATTGTAACTTTTCTGTTTTTATTTTATTTTACCAGGACCCTACTCTTTTGGGCGTGGAATTCGAAAACTGGTGTTTGGCAGATAATGCTTGAGATGTTCAACAGTGATCAAAAGAACCAGTAACGTCATCAAAAACAAAACAAAACAAAAAACGACTGATAAACATTTGTGGCCTAAAATAAGAATATGACAATAGAGATGCGACTACCGACCGCATTTTCCTCTTGGTTCCTAGGTGGATTAGTACTTTTATCGTGAACTAATTTTCATTCCTTCATTAAGATATTAGAATCTAAATTAGTTAGTGATTTATGAACGCCAAAAGTATTCCGCGAGAAATACGTTACAGCATTATAAGACCAAAAAAATCGAAATTTGAAATGTTGAGTCATAGTGAATGGTTTTATGAATATCCCTTCAGTTAAATTGGCTTTAGATGTATTCAGTTTTAAATGCAAAAATCTAGCTAAGATTTCTGGACGTTCTATAAATGTTCGACTAGCCTTTTCGGGAATTTGGGTAACTAAAACGATTTGCAGTATAAAAAGGTGAATTTGCATGAAAATTACCGTGTACTGATTATACTTTTGTAACTGTTGTTAGTTGGTATCGTGATGGTGTGTACTGAATGGGTGATGGTTGGAGGGGTCAGTGCACCCGCCGTTCGCTGGACCACTCTTTGCACAAAACGGTCCTATATAGATGATGCCAAGCGTGAGGCAGTCTCTTTCAAATGATGTCTAAAACTGTTGATTGGTGACTTCTTGTCGCTGACCCCTTGACCAGTCACAATGTAGTTGTTGCCGCTGAAGAGCGCGTTAAGAACCACTGCCTGATTTATTTCACCTCACAGTCACGAGATTGGGAGCTAACCTCTCTTTGTTAAATTCAAAAAAAAGGGTTTTGGGGGAAATTCATAAGCCGTTTGGGTTTTGAAGAAAGACAGGGAAAGAATAGGGCGACTTCGCATCATGATTGACTCGTTCCAAACGACTGACTTGTAAAAAGAAGGTCGACCACCAATAGAAAGCGTGTCTTTCTAACGCCATTAAGATATCTAGGCTCAGTATAGGCCTATTCTAAATTTCGTATCACGCACAACAAGCAGTGTGACTACTACATGTAACTATCAGATTGATGTACTGCAACGCACTCCAGAGCATTGAAGAATTGGGAAGAAAAATAGAAAACGTGCTCACCGAATGAAATGTCCAACCTTTTGATGGGAAATGCATTCCATCGGGGAGATTGTGGCCAGCTCTGATGTTCCGCAGGTGGATAAACGCGGTGAATTCTGGCATAATTGGTCGATCCATGACTACGAACAGTTTTACATTTAATTAACTTTCTTACACCAAGGTCATAGATAGTGAGTTTTGATACAGGCATTTCATAATGGCGCGCCCCCGAGAGTTTGCAACGCGTTAACCAATCACAATGTGCGATTTTGCGCAATGGGATTGGTTAACGCATTGCAAACTCTTGGCGGTGCACTATTGTGAATTGCCCGTATTTGGTGGCTCGTGATGCGAATGTATCATTCACGCGTCGAGCGCTAGGGCACTTGCGATGTTACCGAGCCGCAAAAACTGATGAATGACTGTGATCATTTCCACAGTTGATGCGTCATGTCAACTGCATTGCATTTGTGTAATCTTGGGTATGAGGGTGGATAGCCGCGGTGGCACCACACGCCAATTATTGTAACAGTTGTTAAATGCCATGGATCGACCAATCAGTATTGAGAATTCAAGTTTGCCTGAAGATAATCTTTGGTATCAAACAAATTGTCTGGACAGGGTCTCGAGCCTTTACGGGTTTGGGTCTATGTTATGGTAGCAAGCCTCGGCAACTATAGGTAACGAGTCTAGACAGGATATCAAGCCTGGACAGGGTTTCGGGCCAAGATGGCATATTGTTCCCAAAATAAGTATCAAGCCCAGATATGAGCATTTAAGACCGGAAATGTTACTTCATTCTGAATGCAGGTAACGCATGAATAAGCTCTGCTTCCAACGGTTCATACACTTGGTTGAATATTCATCTAATTAGACCTACTGACACCATCGCAACATTTCGATAATTGTTTATTGTAACCTGTATAGGCCTACAGTCTAAATTCAACCTCAGAGACATCTGGATCCGGGACTAGCCTTCATTAGTATTTCGGAGGAGACAGCGTATTGACTTTTTCTTCGAATTCTTGACGGATTTTGTCCAGAGTTTCTTGTCCGCTCGGATGTAACAGCTCGATAGCGATGAATGCAAGGGTCTTGCCCTGATTGAGAGTTGGCGCCTGGGCACGACACGCGCCTGGAAGACAAATTTACATGAAAAGTTTTTCGGGGGTCTAAGTTGTATAACTAAAGAATCACTGAGTCTAGTATTACTCTGCAGTCTTTTAAATAAAAGAATCGCAAATTCGCTATTCTGCATACACAACATTTATTCGACTAAGACATTACGTCAGAAATCCAAAGCCAATTTTAAAGTGCTGAAAATGGACTACTGGGTGATTTGTCCCAAAGGGAACACTGAATGGAATATTAACTGGAAGGCAACTCTTTTACCTGTTTGAGCTGTGAAGTCAGGCGTATGATAACTGGCTCCGTCGCAAATTTTATATTCAGGATGGATGGTTGGAACTACGTAAGAAACATTGCCCACGTCTGATGACCCAGTCATTTTAGTGCCAGCCGGAAGGTTTAGGTCACAGCTCCATCCAAGGTTCTTGGCATGCTTCTCATAAAGGGATATCAGCTGGTTGTTTGAGATGAGACTGGCAAAGGATGAAGACTGTTCCCACTCAACCTGTAGGAAAAAAAGTAAATAACCTCAAGGTTAAATTCTCTTGCACTGGATTAATTTCGGTGCCAAAGGTCACTCCCAATGTTATGCAAGGCGTGTCCATTCATTTCGACAATGACGGAATACTGGCGGAACTTTTAATGAAAAATATGCCAGTGAAGATGTATTGAAATGAACTCTGAAATTAAACCAGCTTCACAGAGACGGCTAGTAAATTTAATGTGTCGCATAATACTAAGATGGTGTAGATTATCTTTCGCTGCTTTTGATCACAAATGGCAACTACAAAAAAGTACCATCAGAATGGAGCATATAATGCTAGAGTGGCTAGGAGTTTTCTTCCTGAGATAGGTAAGTAGTATTCTTAAACTTAAAGCCCGTCAGTCTGGCAAATGGAAGGTTGTTGACTCAGGCACATAGAGATACCTACAGTGTTGATTAAAGTCACTTCACTATTGCTAACTATTAGTGTGGGATGTCAATCCTTTTTGTGGTTAGTTGTTTGCTACAAATTGCAGGTCAGCTGAAATACCCTGAACCAAATTTGACGAGGTTTATTTTCATTCAATACTCTATTTGAATGTTTATACGTATTTTGATAAACTATGTGCGATTTGTTAAAGGCGTTTATGAATTATTCAGTTTCTTATTTGTACTAACGGCCGGCCATAGTTTACTAACCATCGGTAAGCAAAATGTTCAACAGGAAGGTACAAAGAGAGAGGTTTAGACTCTATTCGTGCATTCATCCTGGAAGTCTTTGGTTGAGCCATTTCTTACTTTGCATCCTGATGTTGCAGCTGCGCCCTCGGCACAAGCAATTAATTTCTTCTTGAGGATATTCAAATCAGCTTCGTCTAAAGCTCGTATGTTGCAGGTTAACTCAGCCTTGTCAGGGATGACGTTTACGGCTGCGCCTCCATTTGTAATTATCGCTGAAAGATGAACGAGGAACTAGAACACTTTAAAAAAATGTGTCTGGCATTTTCTGACGAAGATTAGTGAACATGTATTTTTCGTTTACCACAATCATTTTTATTAATAATGTTTAAATGATGAAGGCACAAGTTAATGATACGACAATAGAAGTTGCAAGCAACTGTGAACAAACATCACCCAGATCTTGAAATAAGGATTATTATGCATGTGGTCTTTGCAATTACCGAGACAAAATTTTAAATTGGGCCGACCCCCTAACTTTGCAAGAATGTGGAAGCATGGAGAAATCGTACATGCACATATTTTCATTCATAGGACAAACGCTGGGGTAGATTTTGGAACGAAAGCGAAAGGATTTGTACTGAACTCTCCCCCGCGGCCGGCCCCCTTTTGAACTTACTGTGAATGCGCCATGTTGGTTTCATCTGTTGTCTCATGGCATATATGGCATTGTAGCACATAACTGCGGCATCTAATGCGTTTACGCCCTCCCATGGCACAGCGGCAGCATGAGCGGCATACCCGTCATATTTGATGACCAAGCTGGAAAATCACATGGGAAACTGAGCAATAAGAGATGCAGAAAATATAGGCAGACTTCAAAAGACTTAAGAAAAAATTAAGATTATGAAAAAATATTTAAAAAGAACAACAGTAGGAAAAATGGTGATCGTTAATTTGCCTTCCTTTCCTTTAAGGATCTAGGTTCGAATTCCACGGAGATTTACTCCAAGACCATTTTCTGTATTCCTTAAAAACTCTGTCCCTGGGTACTTAATTAAATTTAAATTTGCTTTCCCCTTAAAACCATAATCATGAAGAAGCCGTTGTAAGCAAACATATCATTTGTAAGCAAATACCATCAATCTTGACACTCATCAAAAAAGAGTGTCGACAAAATATGATTTTAATTCTTTCATGAGCATAACTGTACAAGAAGCAATGTGAATTAACTGTGAATGTGTTAAGGTCTTACATGGCCATAGATAGATAGATGGGTCGCAAGATGTTATATTTGGAAGGATGCACCATCATTGCTACGGTAACGTCATCAAATGCTCCAGCATCTATCAGGAATTTTTTGCCGCCTCCTCCCTCCTCGGCAGGAGTTCCCAGTACAGTCACCTGGAAACACGTAAAATCACACTTCTGCAAAGGTGTCTATACGTATACATTAGGGCATCTGTTTCAGTGGCCGCAACTAAATGAAAAAACAAAACCTTTCTCTTTCCAAGTGAAAAGGTACAATAAATAAGTACGTCCCCTCCTGGCTGCCCCGATCACCCCGCCAAAGTACAAAAAAATTTGTACAAGCATAAAGTCACAGTTAATTTGCTTTAAGTATTTCCATATGTTTGCACCCCTGATTGCCGCCCAGAAATTCACCTAAGTTAGAAGAAAAAATGCGATCACATGTTGAGACAGAACTTGGTTAATTGTCTATAGAGTACTGAACACAATGAAGGCATGTTTCTAAGCAAGACACTTTACTTCAGCGCAGAGGTCTGTAGTATGAAGAGGGCTGGTTCAAGACGTTGATTACAGTTAAGCATTTTATGGCTGGCATAAGTGTATTTGTCCTTGCATAACACATTCCCTTGCATGTTGTTATTCACATGAGGGTCTTTTCCCACAGCTTAGCTTTGAGCCAGCACGAGCTTCGTCTCTGACCCCAGACTCGAGTATTAGGCCAGAAATATTGATCCACATAAAGAGATGAAAATTTCAGCTAGGCGTGCGATATTCCCCTTGTAGAAAACTGACACAATCATGCGTAAGCCTGAGTCTTTTAGCTCAGGAAATTGAAGCAGTGAAACGGAATCTTGAAGCAAAAGTGGGAGACGCAGCTGAGATTTAAGCAATAGCCACAAGGCAAATTTGCCTAACCTTTCCATACTTATTTCCACGAGCTTGGAGTGTTGCTTTCACTCCTATTCCAGCCGCTACACCGGCTTCAGCTATCAAGTTGTGTCCACAAGCATGACCAATCCCAGGCAATGCATCATACTCGCACATGATGCATATATTAGGACCAGTGTCGTCACATCCAAATGTTGCTCTAAGGGGGAAAACGAATTTCCCTTCACCTTGTCCTCAAGCAATAAGTTGTTCTTTATACTAGCCAAAAAATCTCGGACAAATATCAAATGAGCAAACTTATCTGAAAACAAGAGAATAAGAAATAAAGCATACACAATATCAAAGCAAAAAGTTGTTTCTGCCGATGTGGATAATATTATGCGATGTTCGTTCAAAGTCTCTGCTACATAAATGGAACTTTTGGATTTTACTTTTGAGTCTACAAACCTGAAAGCTGTTTCCAGTACAAAGTGCCGTTCCACCATGAACCCTTCATTTTCCAGGAAATCTGTCAGGACTTTGTGCGCATGACTTTCCTTAAAGTTTGTCTCAGGGTGATTCCAGATGTCTAGACTGAGATCGTTCAAGCGCTCGGCTGAGCTATCGATCTTTGATTCGGCCAGTTCTATCAGATTCTTCACGTCGGCACTGTTTGGACTGGAGTTTGAAGACATCTTGACCGAAATATACTTTGTCTTTATGACAATTAAGTGAAAAAAACTTATTTTATGATATGAAATTTATATATCGTGGCGCCAATCAGGGCTTCCGCTTAACAAGAATTTGGAGGCGAAGGGAAGTACCAGAGAGCCCCATAAGTCGTTAATTTTTTTGCAGGGAAACGCATGTTATGGCCTTTTTAATCAAGCTCGAGATCATATACAACAATAATCAATATGTGGTTATATTACTCTACAGAGAAATTGCAGTGGTAAGTGATCAACATAGTTATTATCTGACCTGCAAAGAGATGATCGATTTAGTGTAATACAATGCTCATGGACGTCAATTGGTGGGGGACCCCACTTTTCCTGGTGGGGGATACTATACCAATCCCCCCTCCACATTTTTCAAAAACGTAAATGAAAATGTAAACCTTGCAAAAGCATTTGTTAAAAAACTGGCTAACGTAGCCAGAAATTGTCCCAGATCATGCTACACAGCATATATACTCCAAAATTTTCCGGGGCACAAGAGCGGCGCTTCGCTCGCATTTTGTTGTGATCAGGGCTGGGCCTATATATGTCCCTCCACTTTTCAAAACGGATTGACGCCCACGCACACGAACTGGAAAGCTTTAAATTAGTTGCTAGCAGTGTGCACATTTTAATGTTCATGATGTTCAACCAGTTTGATTTTTTTCTAGATTTAATACTGTTAACATCTGCGAAGTTTTTACAAAGCCCAAGTCAACGTAACTTCTGCATCAAGATGGCTGCCATGTGACGGCCCTATATGGTTACTATACCAACTCCATCATGCTTCCTGATGGAGGGCCTCATATCGTTCGGATAAACTGTGGATGAGGGTTCAGACTCACATTAGCCTTCACAACCATGCAAAAGGTGGACATCTATGCAAGATGTAAACAATTAAAAGCAATGAAAGGCGCAATTCATTTGAAATCTCAACAATCATACGCTTACCCAAGTTTCAACGTACCCACCAGACACAAGATAACGAGTGTTCACTCGCCAGCAACCGCAATTGTGTCGATTCGGTATTTGCAAGGTACATACAATATGATCAATATCTTTCACGTGATCAAAGGTTAAACATATTTGCTCAACTATGGTTTGAACTATGGTTTAGTTAGAGGTAGTCCAAAGTTTGAGTTATGTTACACCTTAAAGGTGGGTTTAAATACATCATTGGTACAATCACAAAAATGGGACTGCCAAATAATCCTTAAAAATCCTACTTAAAAAAAGTATCAGCTTCGGTTAATCTGTAAATATTTCCTCCCATGTAGAATACGGCAGTTATCAAGGAAACTGACATTTTATTCTCGTTTCACGATGATCGACCGATGCAGCGTTAAAAATTCGTTTCGTTTTAAAATAGACGAATAAAGAAATCCATAACATTTTCGTTATCAGGCGCCTATGTTGTGTGTCGTGTGTACAAATGTTGCAGGAGTTATCATAAATAGGTGATACGAAAAACAGCAAAACTCACAGGTGGAAATTCATTAAAACGCATGAAAAACCAAAAGAAGAAAAAAACTGGTGTAAGGTATAAAGTAAAAGAGAAATTGGATCAGTTCAAGGTTAAATCTTAAAGGGGATGAGCCGTGCTGGGAAGATTTCTTGTAAAACATGTACCAACACATAAAACAAACATACGTAAACAGTTGTAATAAGAAAACACATCTGCCTAATTTTAAAATGCGCGGAAATATGTTAATAATTATAGTTTTCACGACCCTATTTCACTCCCTTCTCGGAGCAAAAACCAAAAGTTGTCTGAAGAAATTCCCTGACAAAAACCCAAACACTGATTTTGGATTTTTGCCCTCCTTGGTGTGCATTACATCACTGTATACCCAGTGTTGCCCCCGAAGGCTTGCAAAAAAACCCACAAGCGTACTTGGGTGGGACTCGAACCCACGACCTCCTGTTTACTAGTGCAGACAGCTTATAACCACTCAACCAAGTTGAGTTCGTCCTATGACGTCACATTTTTGCCAAGATTTGTCTGCTGCCCTCATTGACCGATTTCGGTAAATTTTTGCTAAGAGCCCGGGCTGCAACTGAAAAAAAGCACACAGAAAATGTCAAGTTTTGCTGATTTAATGGCATAAAAGAGGGGTTAATCAAACTTATTCTTTATAATACGGTTGAAAACTATCATATAACGTCAATTTAATCCTACATGGCCCGTCCGCTTTGAGTACAAAAAGGGATATTTCTTTACGCGAAAATGTTGCAATCTACCACTCAGTTACATAGTGGTACAACTTTTGTTATTGCTGCTGTTACCGAGTCAGCGCAGAGCGAGAGGTTTAGTCCACAAAGAAAAAAAAAAGGTTTCCAGGCGTTAACCCTCCCGTGTTTCAAGATATAATTTCTTCTGTGGCCATAATTGTTAATCAGTAAACTGAGAATGGATTTTAGACTTCCGGTGATGTTAACTGCGCAAAAGTGGTTCGGGAAATCCCGCAACGAGTCGACTGCAGTGACTTCATCACTGCTGCTTGATGACATTTTACCCCCTGAATTCACAGTACAAGAGCACCCGTCATACCTGTTCATTTGCTGACGAGCCCCACGAGTACGTTGTCACTCATTCAGAACGCCGTGATTATTTTCCACCAGATAAATTACAAGATTTTCAAACTGACTGTTGTAAAGGCCGCTGTGGTTTCTCCAATTTTCCAAAGCAATTAACTCAAACACGAGAAAAGTCAGTGAAATAAAACTGCAGTAACTTTTATACCCCCTACATCTGCCATTTTTTGTTTAAATTAAGGCAAGAAAACAACTTGTGTAACCTCCCTTTAATGCGCAAACAACTCTTAGGCTGTTGATAACATGCTACACAGAAACAACGAAGTCTCCACGCTACCCCCAGGCCTCTCAGTTCAGCAGGCCCTATCGAAACGTTTCCAAGATCAAGAAGACCTGACCTTGCATCAAATTCAAAATTAAAAGGTTCTAACCTAGTCCTTCGAAGAAAAGAGACATCAAAACAAACACAAAACCTGAATTGAGACAAGAACCTTGTCCCGTTCCAAAAACCTTTAATAAATGCATTTGCAATGTTTTCTTTGCAGCTAGCACAATACATACATGTAATTAATAATCTAGATATAAAAATACTGCAATAAATTCTTCCCCCATTGGAAAAACAAGTACATTACATGATGAATTACACTTACAAAGCCCAATTAAAACACAGACACATTGGTATAAAATAATACATGTATGAAGATCTAACTCAGTGTCAGCATTCTACCAAGGACTTTAACTGCCACACCAAAGTGTATCACATGGTTCATTTATCCTATGTTAACATGTCATTCATTATTGGATTTATATTTCCAAGGAATATAGGATCTATGTGTGAGCGCTTTGAACGTCCTTAACCTCTAACTACCAGGAATGAAAAAGCATGTCACATCATCCATGGGATATCCTTTATTTGTGGAAAGTCCAACCTCAACTTCAAGTTTTCATGGTCTGTTTGAGGTTGAGTTCAACATCAGAAAGAGCTGCCAATGACAGTCTGATCGAGAATGATGGTACGCTGTATTTACAACCATAAACAGTTACCAGTCACAAAACAACAATGTAACACTGCCAACATCAAGTTGACTGGACATTTGACCTCATCAGCTGATCTCTTGAGCATGTGGTGGTCTTTGGTATGTATTCCGTTTGACACATTCAACTAGCCAGTCAATGCCTTCATTCACCCCTTCCCTGCGTGCGAAAGAAAACGGAACTGCATAAAATGCTTATCTACAACACTGTGATTTAAATCAAGGAGTCTGGGTACAAGACTGAAATAACTGCAAAACTGATTCTTTCACCCATTAACAAACATACAAGCAGAATAGTATGATGGCTCTGATAAACAAACCTTAGTGATTGACAAATTGGGATTACAGGTACTAGACCAATATGGCAGCCACTGTAAGTTATCTTACCCAGTGAGCGCAGACACTGGTTGTATGTGGCAATCTCTTCTTCCAATACTGGATGCACTTTTGTTAAATTCTGCTTTAATGTCAGACACATGTAGAACATCCTACCACAAAATCAATTGAAAAGGAACTTTGACAAAAATGAAATTCACAGTGTGATGATTTATGCAGACTGGCTCCAACAGTCTACTCATTGTTTGAAGACATTACACAGAAGAAGTTACGCTGAAGTATCTACTTCAGCAAAATTCCAAATTACAGTAAACTCCCACAAAGTCAGCATCGCGTAACCCATCATATTGTCCAAATTGGCTGTTTGACAAAAGTCCAATCGTCTGTAATGCAATTACATTGAAAATTTCATTTCTAAGTCGGCATTTATAAGTCGTCATATCGTATAAGTTGATAGGTTTTTCTTGTTTCCTTTTCCACAAAACCACAAAAATTCCTTTGTGTAAGTCGGCATTTAAAAAAAATCGTGCTTTGTATCAGTTTCCTTCACCGCAGCTGCCAAGAAGTGTCACATGACAAGTCCCGTGCACATGCGGCCAGCATGAGTACATCAATACCAGTAACCCCTTTGTGCTACACGCATGCGCTCTGTCCATTTTGGGGGTTGCCTTATTGAACGTAGTCCGGTTCCCTGCCCAAAGATTCCCGGACGACCCTTGATAATGATTCGTCGGGTAGTCAGAATCATCGGGTCTGGTATCCAGACTATACTGAACGAACTTAACCAATGCGCGTGTGTGGATGAGTGTACATTTTCTGTGCCGTAGCACTGTATATCACGTACATGTACATACTGCACTGTCGAGTCGTGGTGTGATCTGCAAGTGGCTTGCTGTCCTTGAATTGAATATTGAATATTGAATTTGCAGGATTTGCAGGATAATAATTGAGAGCGAATTTGCTGTGATTGACCATGGAGGTAGAAATAAACTACGGTAAATCAAAGCCATTGAATTAGTGCAAGGAATCATAATGTACATAGGCAATACATGTGTACATGTAAGTCGGCAAAATGACGACTTGCAGCACAAGTCAGCATTCCCATAGGTCGTCATAATTTCTTGAGTCCAGAGAGTACCGACTTAGCTGGATTTTACTGTACATCCAGTTCTCTTTTTTTTGCATTAAACAAGATTTCTATATGAAAGCTGAAATTCAAGATTAAACAACAGCTAACATCATTTTCTTTAGATCACACTGGGTAAAATTTTACCCAAGAGTCATAATGAACCTTGCTTGAATGTACTTACAGGTAAATCTTGTTTGTTGGCTAAGACAAGTAACGGTACACCGTGTAAGGCTTCGCTGGATATCATTTTATCTGAAAGAAAGGAGTCCAAGTATTAAAGCATGTGCTCTATGCATCCATGTTGAGCAAGTTTAGTCCTCAGAGGAGAAATAATCAAGGTGTCCATAACAACTGCTTTAAGCCTGATCTAACTTACCCACTAATGGAAAGGGCTTGAAGCTATTAGCAAGAAGCTTCCATATGGATATGTGCTATATCTAGCCATAACCACATTTTTGTACACAGCCTAAAGACCCAACTGTAGTTTTTGAATGAAGCAGCCTTAACAAGTACTGCTTGTCCATATCCTAAACATTCAATAGACCATCTGAGTTTGTCTAGAAAATTAATTCCACTCAAGCAATATGTATGAATGACACTGCCTTATACCTTTATAAGAACTTACCGAATGCTAATCTAGATGCTGCTAATCGTTCTTTATCTGATGAATCCACAACATAAATGACAGCATGAGATTCTGCGTAGTACTGCAAGAAAAATTACAACAAGCTTCTCTGTTATTGCCATTTCAGATCCAAGTTACGTTTCTTTACAAACCTTTCTGTTGACATTCAAAGTTACTTTTTGTATTCACTGGCTCAACAGAGAAGAAACAAAATGATTACAAATGATCATGGCTCTAAGCATACTCATCTATCCAATTACTTTTCATTGCCCTGATCTGCACAGGCTTGACAAAATACATGCATTGCTGCAGGTTGTCAACGAAACAGGTTAATTAATAATACACAAAAGGGTATATATGGTGTTTTGTCTCTTTTCTGCACCACTGGGAAGGAGAAAAAAGCGGACGATCGAATAATAACTACAAACAGGTGTCTCCCTGGAGTAAGTTTGAATGATGTGACTTTCAGATAATTGTGCAAATTAGGCACCTTATCCCACAATGCTTGCAATTCTTCCTGTCCACCAAGATCCCAGAACATCAAACGAATCCTTGCAGTGTCTATCTTCCCAACTGCAAACATAAACAAAATAAAAGATTTGTCACAAACATGGCCACTTCAAACAATGAACACATTACTGGCTAGCATACAGCATGATTCATTGCACGCGTAACTGAATAAACAAAATAATAAATTTGAGATCACCTTTATGTGCTCATTTCACAAAGTGACAAGCCACGGTTTGTATGAGTCAAAAATAATAAAACTGAAGAGTCTTTTCTGACTCATCACAGTGTAGTCACCTTGAGCTGAGGGTAGTAAATCACCTCATACTCCTTCAAGTGGGCTTATTTCAAAAAGTATTCCAATTCTGTTGATTATCTTACTGTTCAGACCAACTGTTGTAGTGATCTTGTCCAAAGGCATGCCTTTGTAGTCCTTGTTGAATTGCATCTGAGTTGTCTGCAGGAATGTCTGCGGAAAGAAAGGAAAATATTCACCAATCGGCATTGATGCGGTTCAGTGAAACATGATCATT